CACACACACACACACACACACACACACACACACACACACACACACACACACACACACACACACACATCACTGTCGCCAGCAGCTTGATAGCAACACAAAACTGCACACATTTAATGTAAACAATTTTTCAAAGCGAAGTAAAAACAAAAGGAAGTGTGTTTCTTGAGACAGGATGTGGACAGCAGCACACTTTGGAGAGGTAATGTTGTGTATCCATCAACTCTAAGAATAGGACTAAAAAGCCCCAGCATGGAAACAAACACTTTCCACTGCAGGAAGCCAGTTTCAATTTCAAATTATATGTTCAAACAAACAACATAAAAAGTTTAATGACCGAGTAGTTGTCCGTGTCCTGCACTGACATGCTTTTAAACCACACTGAAAAGTTAAAGTGTTTCAGCTGAAAACTAACCTGAGTAACTCACAGAAAATATGAAACTAGTCCTTAAAATGAGCTCTTTAAAAGTTTGAAGAAAATACATTAATGTATCAAAAAGAAATAAATCAGTAGGTCCTCTGGATGGTTCTTCTTTAGTGAAACGTTTCGTCTCTCCTCCAAGAGACTTCTTCAGTCTGATGAGTTTCAGGTGAACTCAGCCTTATAAGCACTGCCTCTACATGATGGACAAACAGGTTAGTCACATGCAAAAGAGGGCCTTTGAGTAACAATAGGCTTGATTAGCTAGTCGATGGTCCTCTTTTGCATATGACTAACCTGTTTGTCCATGTGGAGGCGGAGCTTATAAGGCTGAGTTCACCTGAAACTCATCAGACTGAAGAAGTCTCTTGGAGGAGAGACAAAATGTTTCACTAAAGAAGAACCATCCAGAGAACCTACTGATTTTTTTCTTTTTGATTTTTTCTACCTGGATTACTGAGATGCATCAGGATACATTAATGTATCAATTTTTAGAGCATTATGTGACTTTTATTATCTCTACCTGACTTCAGAAACATGTTGAAACCATCTCAGAAAATGTCTGCCCAAAGTTGTGGATGAGAAACTGCTTATCTCAACTGTCAGATGGTAAAATAATCTGATCTGACAACGACTAAAATCTACCCATCAAGTCCAACTTTAAGGAGGTAAAGTCTGAGAACTTGGAGAGGATTGTTCATTACAATGGCAGAGATCACTGATGTAGTAAAAAAAAATAATAGCTCCTCGGTGTCACAAGATCTGCCCCAAAATGCTGAAGACCTGGACATTGTGGGGACTGACAAGATTGACATGTTTCTTCAGTGGGGCATGCAGAGAGGCAGAGCAGCAGGTTAGTTTCCATTAAATAAAATGAAAAGGGACAGGAAAGTATGTTCCTACTATCCAAAGAACTGTTGTCAGCTTTTTGGGAAAGTTTACTCCAGCATTTTGGAAGAGAGGCTCAGAGCAGTTATTAAACCCCAAATTCATTGTTAGGATCTCAAGGGTCCGTTGTAGAGAGAAGGGTGTCTGGTTTGGAAACCTCAGGATCTGAGATGAGAGTCAGAATCTCTCAGTTCAAAGTCATGGTTCTTAACCAGGAAAAGGTAGACTCTTCTCCTGGTCGGGAATGAGTCTTTGCCTTAATCCTGGTTTATATTTCCACAAGACACGAGACAGCAGATCAGTAATTACATCACTTCCAATCTTTCTTCCAGAGTTTTCAGACTCCTGTCAAGATGCAGGGGATAAATCATCACAATCCCTCCTATAGCACTCCCAATGTAGTACATGGAGCAAAGCATAACAACAGTGATAGAATAGATGATGTTCACTCAATAATGTTTCCGACATTTATAAAGAGACACATGTTGTTGGATGAGGAGTTGGAGGAAACTTTTCTTGTGAAGATGAAACAAAGACATGAACGTTCCATCTGGCTAATTTAACAACTGGCTTCTAAGAATGACATGAAAAGGGACAGATTTCTCCACATAAACAAACACACCAACAAAGTCCTGACCAGTCACATGATGCAAACTGCATTGGTCTATAGGACAGACTGCTGACTGGAGGCGATGTACAAAACAGGGAGTTAGCAGAAGATAACAGATGAAAGTAAGACTAAGCAAGACGTGAGAATGGAAATCCTTCAAGACAAAAAGTTTAAGGATTTCAGAGTCTTGTTTGCGAATGATAGAATGAAACTGGAGATAATTTGACTAACTGAAAATAAGGACATTGCTTTGGACTATCATGGTCAAGAAAGTGTTGCATTAAAGGGCAAGTATCTTGATTTACTGGTCCATCTGCGTTCCAGACCCCCAACTGTGGTCTTGAGGTGTGGATCATGACCAAAAGAATAAGATCCCGAATACAAGCAGGTGAAATTAGCTTCCTTTATTGGTTTGGCTAGCTGTGAGGTGCTCCAGGCAAAGCTCAGAGGAAAGATGCTGCTCCTCTGGAGTCATTTGAAGAGTTCAGGATCCTGCTAGCGGTCGACCTAGCCGGTCGAGGCAGATGGTCTCCTGTCCTGAGCCTGGTTCTGCTGGAGGTTTCTTCCTGATTAGCAGGGAGTTTTTCCTCTCCACCGTTTGCTCAGGATGGGAGACTGTGATGAAGTGATTCAACACAATCTGCTGCTTTCTTCTTTACATTGTTCTTTTTATGTACAGTGTCCTGAGACAACGTATGTTGTGACTTGGTGCTATATAAATAAACTGAATTTGAATTTTGCTTGCCTTCCTTTGAAGGTCCAGAATGAGCTGAAGACTACAGCTGAAGAAAAGGTTGGGCTGGGTTATCTTCTGTAGGCACTTCTTCACAATAAACATGTGCTGTTTACCAGGGAACTTCAGACAGTTTAACGTTAGGACATTTTCATTAACTACAGAAAAATCAACACCTGCACACACATGCACACAAAGACACAAATACAGTATAGTCACAGATATATTTGTAAAAAATATTAATAATAATATTTTTTCTTTAAATGTCTTGTAATACCTTCATAATTGAGTCAGGGCGGTGGCTTGACATGCTTTATACTCAACCTCGTTCCTTTGGACAGACAGTATAACACGATGACCTCAAGTATGTAAATACTCAGTTGGCCAAATATTGAACCAGAAGCACCCAGAGTGAACACCTCCACCCAGATCCTAGGTTGTGCAAATGAAAAGTGTGCAGCTACTGAGCAGTGACGGATGGTGGAACAATCTTGATTGGCTGTTTCAGTATGACATCATCACTAAAAAGCAGCCTCTTGTTTTAAAATTTAGTTTCTGTAGTTGTAGATCAAAGCAGATGTTGCCAGATCGCCACCAAAACGTAGTCAGTTGTTCATTGTGACAAAGCCCAACATGCCCCGAAAATTTCACGAAATTCTGTTGTCTCTTTGAGTATTCTTGTGCAGAGACAGACAGATGGACAAATGGACAGATGGAAAAACAAACCAGCGCTACAGAAAACCTACGCTTGGCGGAGGATGAATTTTATTAAATGTGGGTAAATACAATTACCCAAGACAAGCGATGACGGTGTATGAGCCTCCTGGAGCCACGTCTTCTGGGTGATGAAAGAGGTGTTGGACGAGGAGAAGTACAAGGTGAGACACCTCTTAAAACAGCCAGCCAAATACAGCAAGGTTCAGCGTTGATACAGTCCACCCCAACAGAACACTGAAACTGCCATTCATGGCCTGATGGAGCCGGTGCAAGACCCGACACCTTCAACATAGCATCTCCACATTCATATGAACTCGTACTGTCCTGTGCTTTAAAGAAACACTAAGACACCTCGAAGACTGCATTGCTTCAGGTTCCAAAGCTGCATTGTGGCCAGATGTGACGATTCAGTGTAAATTAATAAAACAAATTCTGATGCACTGCAGTCAGTTTATCAGATACTGATTATATCAATAGCCACAATTGTCACCCTCTTAACCATAGATGTCCACCGCTGATCTGTCAATCATCCATTAACTAAACATCCCCAACACTGATCTGTCAATCATCCATTAACTAAACATCCCAACACTGATCTGTCAATCATCCATTAACTAAACATCCCCAACATTGATCTGTCAATCATCCATTAACTAAACATCCCCAACACTGATCTGTCAATCATCCATTAACTAAACACCCTCAACACTGATCTGTCAATCATCCATTAACTAAACATCCCCAACACTGATCTGTCAATCATCCATTAACTAAACATCCCAACAATGATCTGTCAGTCATCCATTATTATTATATCTGTCAAT